CATAGCTCTCTTAGGCAACAACATGGCCCTGTAGGAAACACATAGCCTTTTTAGGCATTAATATAGCCCTGTAGGCAACTCATAGCCCTTCTAGGCATCAGTATAGCCCCGTAGGTAACTCATAGCCCTCTTAGGATTCCATATAGCTTCGTAGGCAGAACATAGCCCTTCTAGGCATAGATCACATTCATGCAGCTAACCACAATATCCCCAAGGGCAACAATAACAATCCAATCGCTAAAAGCGAGCAATTTGGTTATAAGCAACCTATAACAAATAGCCTCTAAGTCGTGTCCAACATAAGGACGCTACTAACTGAATAAGAATCCCAACAAAGGAGGATTATATCAACTCGAGCAGCCAACAATCAACAATAATGGCTACAAGTATAACAAGGATAACAACCCAATTACATTACTCCTACGCTTTAAGGAAACATGCCGTAAGTAGGGAATAGTCTTAACATACTTTTTTTACCGAATTCACGTGGCCTAACGACTTTACTCACAACCCTCCTCGATGCTACAACAAGGCAGGACCATAATCAACATAAAAGAATAGAGGATACCACGATAATTCGATAAAATATATGTATTTTCGTCGCAAATTGTTATTTGCGACTTATCAAAGCTAGAGTCGATGAAAGAAGAGTCTTATCTTGATTTTAAGTTCGTAATACACCTCAAAGCTTTAAAATATGCCCAAACCCCTGCTGTCCAACCACCAAAGTACGATATGCTAGGAAATCGATAAAACAAAGTATACCATGTTGACGAGCTCAACATGTAGAACAACTTTTGTCAAGGACTTAAGTCACGAAAATCTGTAACTTGGTTGATCCTAGAAATGGGTTTTGTGAGTTTTCTGGTTATTCACTAAGAAAAATGAAGAAAATTTGAAGAAGATGATATATATAAAGTTCCACCGACCTAGGGGACCTACCTCACCTGCCTGCATGCGCAGTCTTGTAAAAATGCAAATATCTCTCCTTTCTGAAGTCGTATGAACGAACGGATTGATGTGTTGGAAACTAGACTCGTAGACCTTCGATTTCATAGGTCGTGGGCATCATAACTCTTTATATATTGGGAGAAAATCTCCGAGACATTTGACCCAAATTTCAAACAAATCTTTAAAAAGGACTTTACAGTAACTTTCGCCAACTTTTATTTTGCCATTTACCTAACTTCAAAACTTGAGATACAACCCTTGAACACTTAAAATATCACATAACACATCATTATTAATCTATTACCCACCCTCCTGGTCTTTTCACGAGGATACGAGTCAATTTAGACGTTTCAAAAAGTCAGGGTGTTACACTTTACATATCGATTTTTTTTCGACCAACTCAAATCTGATCCTCTAAACAATCCCAAAATTAAAAAATGAGCTCCTCTCAATATTTCAATTTTTTTGATATATTATTCACTCGAAACAATTCTCCTTTATGACACATTAATTTTTAAAGTCGAGCTTAGAACATGGAAAAAAGAATAAGGAGAATAAGGAGGAGGAGGCAGAGAAGAAGAAGAAGAGTGAATTACACTTTACTTGCAATTGAAAAGTGTCAAATGATCATTGTTTGCAACAAATTTTAAACATATGAAAAATAAATAAACCACATAAATAAAATCTGAAGAAACATAACTTTATTGATAAATATGCAGGTACAATTTTGTTCCTCCCTTGATTCTACTCTCCTAAGATTTATCCATGATTCGAGTGCCGTAAGTGGCGTATTTCTCGAACTAGGATGATTTAGATTTGACCTCTATATGAGTATTCCACGACTTTTGTGAAATATTCGAGATCCTGATCTTTAAAAATACCCACGAGTTTATGGGATATTTTGAGCTGCCTTTTAAGGGAATTTAGTACCCTTTATATATGCATAAACTATGGTTTAGGGTTGAGTAGCCTCCAAGAATTCTAATTGAAACTGAACACATCTTCTAGAGTCACAATTCGAATTGAACACGTCTTGTAGAGTCCGCAAAATTTCAATGTCTACAAATGCCCCCTGCTTCAAGGCTTGTCAGAGTTTGAGACTCGATGAAACTCAAAGATGAGACTTGAAGTACTCATTCTTCCACCTTTGCAGCTTCAGATTTTCAGATTTGATTTAAGAGAGAAGAGATGAAGGGCAGATTTGGTCCCACTGGGCGTGCCAATTTGTTTGCAACAAATTTTAAACATATGGAAAATAAATAAATCACACAAATAAAATATGAAAAAACATGAATATTTTATTGATAAATATGCAGGTACAATTCTGTTTCTCCCTTGATTCTACTCTCCTAAGATTTATCCATGATTCGAGTGCCATTAGTGGCGTATTTCTCAAACTAAGATGATTTAGATTTGACCTCTATATGAGTATTCCATGGCTTTTGTGGAATATTCGAGATCCTGATCTTTAAAAATACCCAAGAGTTTATGGGATATTTTGAGCTGCCTTTTAAGGGAATTTAGTACCCTTTATATAGGCATAAACTATGGTTTAGAGTTGAGTAGACTCCAAGAATTCTAATTGAAACTGAACACATCTTCTAGAGTCACAATTCGAATTGAACACGTCTTGTAGAGTCCGCAAAATTTCAATGTCTACAAATGCCCCCTGCTTCAAGGCTTGTCAGAGTGTAGACTCGATGAAACTCAAAGATGAGACTTGAAGTACTCATTCTTCCACCTTTGCAGCTTCAGATTTTCAGATTTGATTTAAGAGAGAAGAGATGAAGGGCAGATTTGGTCCCACTGGGCGTGCCAATTTGTTTGCAACAAATTTTAAACATATGGAAAATAAATAAATCACACAAATAAAATCTGAAAAAACATGAATATTTTATTGATAAATATGCAGGTACAATTCTGTTTCTCCCTTGATTCTACTCTCCTAAGATTTATCCATGATTCGAGTGCCATTAGTGGCGTATTTCTCAAACTAAGATGATTTAGATTTGACCTCTATATGAGTATTCCATGGCTTTTGTGGAATATTCGAGATCCTGATCTTTAAAAATACCCAAGAGTTTATGGGATATTTTGAGCTGCCTTTTAAGGGAATTTAGTACCCTTTATATAGGCATAAACTATGGTTTAGAGTTGAGTAGACTCCAAGAATTCTAATTGAAACTGAACACATCTTCTAGAGTCCCAATTCGTATTGAACACGTCTTGTAGAGTCCGCAAAATTTCAATGTCTACAATCATTATTGA